CAATATCGTGCTACGGCGAAGTCGAGCCTGGGATGTGGTGTTGGCCAACACAACTCGATTCGGAGTCAAAGTGGACTTTCCGGGTACATCCCACATCGCCCAGGAGAATGGATCCTCTAAGCCTTATATGTATATTCTCATCTCTACCTAGCACGAGGCTTTTTGGGAGCTCATTGGCTTCGGGTTTCATCGGAACTCCGAAGTTAAGCAAGTTCGGGCGAGAGCATTCCCAGGATGGGTGACCCACTGGGAAGTTCTCGTGTGAGTTCCCAAAAACAAAATCGTGAAGGCGTGGTCGGGGCCCAAAGCGGATAATATCGTGCTACGGCGGAGTCGAGCTCTGGATGTGGTGGGAGCTCAGGCGGGGATGTGACATTAGACGAGAACTAAATATCAATGGACTAATGTCCCGTTCTTGTTATAAGATGAAGGGTCTCATAATCACATATAATTTAATGACATAATAATAACTAAATTCATAATGCTATATTAGAGTTAGAGGATATAGATGGTCACATATTATTAAGTATATGGTTTGTAATTTAATTAACATGTCGTGTAGTGGTCTACTACATATTTAAAGGAGTAATGAATAGTCATGCGGTGATGTAACGCCGTTTTCAAGATAGAACGCGGTTCGTATGTATGATGAATTAATCTGAAGAATGATGCAATTCATGGTCTGTGAAGTAATAAGGATTATATGCTTTGCCTCTGAAACCGAAACATGGTTCAAGCTCCCCTACTTGTAAACACACCCCAGCAACCTCTCTCCCCACTTTCCAAACTTTATGGTCCGCCACCAGAAACTTGAAATTTGAAAATTTTCATCTGAAACTTGAAACTTGATGAGCTAAATCTCACGTAAAAAGTAAAAATTTAACAGAGACAAAGAGGTGAGACAATAAAAAGGTGGATGCCATCTAGATGATGGTGTGAATGGTGGCTATGATCGAGGTATGGAGGGTGGGAAGGGAAAAATGGTTTTTCTTTCATGTTCTGGATAAGTGCTTCCTTACAAAGCACAAAGCAGGTGCTTTGAGAAAGCACTTCTATGACTCAAAAGCACTAGTTTTAACCCTTACCAATTTGAAACATGCCTGAATTCATCTAGTGAAAGCACTAGTTTTGGAACTTTATTTTTGGTACAAACTAGCGTACAAGCATCAATACAATGAGTGATCAACCAACCTCTTGCAATACTCATCTAAGGAATTAAGGACTAGAGAAGGTTCTTTTGTGGGGGGTTACAAATTACAGATGGATTCAAAGATGCATATTCAAGCAGCTCCTCATTGCTTTCAAACATGGACATGTCTTCTTCGTTGAAAGTTAAGGACGCTTCTATTCCATCGCCATCTCTTGCATCCAGTAAGACAATTGAATTCTTGGAACCAACACTAGAAATGAAGACCCATGATGGCTTTCCCCAACCAAAATTGGATTCGTATAGAGGAAACCTGCACCAACTGGTGGAACTATAGCTGTCTGTATCATCCTTTTTCATAATGAGGTTCACATTCTCCATGAAAAGTTGACAGAATTCCTCCCCTCTAACTCCATTTCTATATTTTTCTTTAAATTCCTCAATGCCCTTCCTCAGTATAGTAACCAAGCTTCGAAGATCATGATCATGTGCTTCACTGCTGGATTCTTCCGTCTTTGCTGCAACCAACCCCACAACATTCCCTAGCAAATCTTTATCTGCCAAGGTCTGCGCAAGTACTTTCCTCATGTTCACTGTTTGACACCATGAAGAGGGCCTCACTGAACCCAAGTTTGATCTTGACGCTTCCTTTGCACATTTCCAAATGAGTGCGGACACTACTTCAACTCGTGTTGGATTTGGCACGCTGGCACTGGCAGCTTCGGACTTGAGAGCAGCAATCTTTGAGCCATCAAACACAAATCTCCTCGTCGTACACCTTTCTTTAATATCAAATTTCATGTCTCTAGTTGGAGTTGGCGCTGGCGGTGAGTTTAGGAAGTCTAGTGGTGGGAAAAGAGAAGATGCAGCCCCAAATGCTACAAGAGGCACCACATCAATAGTTCTTGGCGAGCCGAGTGCAATTGCAGCCCAGCGATTAATGAATTTGCTGAGTGTGGAAGCATCCGCCACCTTATGCGACATATTGACTCCGATTGCCAATCCACCGCATTCGAAGAAATTGGCCTGGACTTGTAGAAGATGACTTGTATGATCATTTGGAAGCAATTGCCCTAGCATTCCAAGATCTGGTTTGTCAAAAATCTTTGACATGGGACAGTTGACTTGGGCTTCAAGAAACACAGCCCCCTGGTCATTGCAACAGATTGAATCATTAAACTGGAAACTTCCTGCAAAGGGATAGAAGAGAGTGAGGGCTTCAGATAAAGATGTCTCTAGAAGCTCGGATCTTTCCGTAACCAAAGATCGGTGATTGATATCATGGACCTCAAAATCATCACCGTTGTTGCAGATGGGGTAGAAGAGAAGTAGTGGGATGTAAATTGGAGGAACAAGCTGATCAAAAAATGAGAGGCTATTGGTAGTTTTGAGGTGCGGAGGAGTTGGACAGGATGGACTAATTGTTTCCTTGTGAATTACTTCGACCTTCACGTCAGAAGCCATGATCTTGCTCCCCATTTGATTTCATCACAAATTTAAGAACCCTCCATATAAAGACCCAGATTCCCCTCACAACAACTGCTCCGATGCAGGAAAAGTCAACTTTATTCAGTTATCAATTTCTTGTATCTGAATATTCAACTGAGCTAATCTCTAAGAAATATTAGCAAAACTCGGAAAGTTCCTCGGGTTGAATGTTGACCAAGAAATACAAATACACAAGCTAGCAGTCAATGGCTGTGCACTATATCTCTCATTTCCACGAAGCATCGTCCACTAATTATTTAATAGTCAAACAGAAGAATATAAAATCGAAATGACCCGGAAACCACACGAGGTATGTTTGTGCTGCTTCATCTTAGTTTGAGTTGCACCCGATAAAGTTGCTCTGGGGTTTTCACTAATATTTAAAGGAGACGCCATATGTGAATTAATCGAATCTCAAGTTTCATTTATATACCATGCTCCCTGTTAAGTTCGAATCTTCCCTTTACTTATTAAAAAATAAAAAATAAAAAAGGATTGTTATGAATCCCAGAATTTATCCACGTGCTATTAGCTAGTTCAACCCTTCAAATTTTAGGCAATACACGCAAATAAGAGTACCTCTTTGAACCAAATCAACCCTTCAGATTTACAAAGAAGAGTACCTTCGTTAACCAAATCAAGCAAATTTTGCTTGGGTCATTCAAAAAGTTGGAGAACGTGACTTTCCGTGCATGATAGGGTCATTCAAAAAGTTGAGAGCAGCAATCTTTGAGCCATCAAACACAGATCTCCTCGTCGTACACCTTTCTTTAATATCAAATTTCATGTCTCTAGTTGGAGTTGGCGCTGGCGGTGAGCTTAGGAAGTCTAGTGGTGGGAAAAGAGAAGATGCAGCCCCAAATGCTACAAGAGGCACCACATCAATAGTTCTTGGCGAGCCGAGTGCAATTGCAGCCCAGCGATTAATGAATTTGCTGAGTGTGGAAGCATCCGCCACCTTATGCGACATATTGACTCCGATTGCCAATCCACCGCATTCGAAGAAATTGGCCTGGACTTGTAGAAGATGACTTGTATGATCATTTGGAAGCAATTGCCCTAGCATTCCAAGATCTGGTTTGTCAAAAATCTTTGATATGGGACAGTTGACTTGGGCTTCAAGAAACACAACCCCCTGGTCATTGCAACAGATTGAATCATTAAACTGGAAACTTCTTGCAAAGGGATAGAAGAGAGTGAGGGCTTCAGATAAAGATGTCTTTAGAAGCTCGGATCTTTCCGCAACCAAAGATCGGTGATTGATATCGTTGACCTCAAAATCATCACCGTTGTTGCAGATGGGGTAGAAGAGAAGTAGTGGGATGTAAATTGGAGGAACAAGCTGATCAAAAAATGAGAGGCTATTGGTAGTTTTGAGGTGCGGAGGAGTTGGACAGGATGGACTAATTGTTTCCTTGTGAATTACTTCGACCTTCACGTCAGAAGCCATGATCTTGCTCCCCATTTAATTTCATCACAAATTTAAGAACCCTCCATATAAAGACCCAGATTCCCCTCACAACAACTGCTCCGATGCAGGAAAAGTCAACTTTATTCAGTTATCAATTCCTTGTATCTGAATATTCAACTGAGCTAATCTCAAATATTAGCAAAACTCGGAAAGTTCCTCGGGTTGAATATACAGAGATAGTTCTCGGGTTGAATGTTGACCAAGAAATACAAATACACAAGCTAGCAGTCAATGGCTGTGCACTATATCTCTCATTTCCACGAAGCATCGTCCACTAATTATTTAATAGTCAAATAGAAGAATATAAAATCGAAATGACCCGGAAACCACACGAGGTATGTTTGTGCTGCTTCATCTTAGTTTGAGTTGCACCCGATAAAGTTGCTCTGGGGTTTTCACTAATATTTAAAGGAGACGCCATATGTGAATTAATCGAATCTCAAGTTTCATTCATATACCATGCTCCCTGTTAAGTTCGAATCTTCCCTTTACTTATTAAAAAATAAAAAATAAAAAAGGATTGTTATGAATCTCAGAATTTATCCACGTGCTATTAGCTAGTTCAACCCTTCAAATTTTAGGCAATACACGCAAATAAGAGTACCTCTTTGAACCAAATCAACCCTTCAGATTTACAAAGAAGAGTACCTTCGTTAACCAAATCAAGCAAATTTTGCTTGGGTCATTCAAAAAGTTGGAGAACGTGACTTTCCGTGCATGATAGGGTCATTAGATTGCATGTATTGGTAGTGAAATAATTGTCCCATTGGATGGCAAGGAGGATTTAGCGGAAGATTGAAAAAGCCAACTATTGTGTTAGAGGCAGTTACCTCGTTTGACCCATGTATTTGGCATGCTTTCTTTGGAGTCTCAGGATCCCAAAATGACATTACAGTACTCAGGCGTTCACCCCTCTTTACTAACCTAACGGAGGGTAAATCACCTCAACTAGACTACTACGTCAATGGGCATCAGTACAATATAGGGTATTATCTAGTAGATGACATTTACCCAAGATAGGCGACACTCGTCCAAATATGAAATCAATGATCTTTATAGGAATTTTACAATATGACCGATTTTGATCATAAATATAAAGTTATGTGAATCTGAAAAGTTTTGAGTAAAGCCCAATTGAAGCAAAAAAAAAAAAAAAAAACAAATCCAAGAGAAGGTTTTGGGCCAGCCTAATTCAGCCTGAAATTTAAAAAGACTTTTAAATCCTAATTGAGCATCGGCTCGGATCAGCGTGGGTCTCTCCGTCCCATTTGCAGACCTATTTCGCACTACCAGGGTTTCACTAAAATCTCACTTTCGGCGTTTCCCTCGCATAAAAACCTCACCGGACTTCTCTTCTTCTCCTTCTTCTTCCTTCCTCCTCACACTCCACAGTTTCACACAGATCTCGCCATCAACATGCAAGCTCCAGTGCTCGTCCTCAGTAAGATCCCTTCCCTTCTTTCTTCTCCCCCCCCCCCTCCCCCACACACAACAAACAGAAAAAAAAAAAAAAAAAAAAAACTTGCAGTTGCCTTAAAGTTTAGGTTTTTGAGTTGATCTTTCATTTGGGTTTCTGAAAACCTCGTTTTCTGCCCTCTTTTTTTATGAGATTTGAGTTCCTGTGAAAACTCATTGGCTTATTTTTGCTTGTTTGAACTTATCTGAGCAGAAGATTCATTGAAGCGTGAGTCGGGGACTAAAGTACACCATGGAAATATCCAGGCATCGAAGGTGAGATTAAGGGTTTACGAATCTAAAAATATTATTTTGGATTGAAATGTAATGGAAAATCCTAAATAGTTTTGTTCGTTTAAGGGAAAATAATGGTTTTAAGTGATGAAGTCTTGGAGAGAGATTTATTTGAATCTAATTTTGTTGATGGTTTTTATTTTCGTATGTCAATCAAGTATATAAATTTCGGAAAGTCTATAAATAAGGTTTTTTTACATGTGATGTGGTAAGTTGGGCTTGTTTTGGTCAATCGAGCTCAGTATTTGGTGAATGACTTACAAAATAGGATGCTGTTGTAATTTTGGGTTTTGTGAACAAGGTTAGCGAAAACTGAATTGAATTGAAATTCATCTGCAAATGTATGTTCAGTATTTGTTTCGAACGTATTAATTTCTGGATGAGTTGCCAGGAGTGTTAACCTTCTAACTATGAAATGTTTAGTATTTTCGTACAAAAGAATTCTAAGCATTTAGGGTCTCAGTTGTCAATGGTATTTTCTTTTCAAGAGGATATTATTATGCTTCCACTGTGGATACTTGTCAGACTATTAGCACTTAGGGGGCGTTTGTTTGCCCTCATTAAGTTGGACTGGACTGGACTGGACTAGCTATTAGTCCAATACTGTATTTGTTCCATGCTGGGACTAACATTAATGAGACTAAAGGGGACTAGCATGGACAAAACCCTTCACTAAGAGGTCTTAGCGAGACCCCCCAATAACCATGGGACTAGCTAAGACTATCCTCTCTTTCTTGTCCTCGTCATGCTCAACGACCACTCCCGACAGACTCATCGTCATCTCCGGTCACCTAGATCAATCATTAACTTTCCGACTCCCTTTCAGATCCATTTCACAACCAACTTTCATATAAAATATACCAAATTGAAGCTGGGAGTGACAAGATTACGATTTTACCTGAATAGAGGCCAAAATGTGGTTGAATGTGGCCGGAAAATGGCCTGGAAGTATCGGCCTGTTTGGGCTTCTTCAAATCCATGACAGATTCAAGCATTCAAAGCTAAGATCTCGGTCTAGGGATGGTGATGAATTTTTTGGCGGTGCTAACTTCATCCAATTTAACGAGGGTTGGCCGGAAAACACATCGGGAAACCTGCAACTCGTCGGGAAAATTGGAGCTGTGAGGTTCCATTCGAACAACACATAGCTAGAGAGGGAGGGAGGATAGAGAAATAGACACTGGAATCAATAAGGAGTTTGACCAGGAATGAGAAAAAGACATGAATTGAGAGGTCTAAGAGGAAAAAAAGAGGGAGATGGTGGGACGATGAGAGAAGAGGAAAAGAGTGGGACGGAAATGGTAGGAAAAGATAAGATCATAATAAAATATTAATAATATATATATTAAATAATATAATATTAGAATTTGTTATTATCCAGCTTCTTAGTCCAATACTGCACCAAACGCTTCACTAAGTTAGTCCAGTATAGTCTAGTCTAAGCCAGTCCAGCTTAGTCCTTGAAGCTAATCCAGTCCGAGATAGTCCAGCGCAACAAACGCCCCCTAGGGTCTCATGAGCGTACAAATTTTAAGCATTTTGATTATTACAGGCTGTTGCTGACATAATCCGGACAACCTTGGGTCCTCGGTCCATGCTCAAGATGCTACTTGACGCTAGTGGAGGTAATTATTTTCTCGCAGTCTGATAAATTTTATTGTTTTTTCTGTATTTTTGTTGAAATTGAATATAATGATTTATTTTCCTTCAGTTTTTACAACGCAGTAAGCCCTTATTTTAGGTGGTGGCATGTTTGTCCCTGTGATTAAATTATTTTGAATCAAAGAAGTTCTTTTACATTTCTATTTGCAATTAAGTAAAGTTTAGATTGATGTTACGGGTGATGTAACTATTTTGTGCATCTATTATCCCCATGGCTTTCGTTTGGGTCTTGATGAGTTTGCAATACACTAACATGTAACCCTTGTTTCTGACAGGAATTGTAGTGACTAATGATGGAAATGCCATTCTGCGTGAATTGGATCTTGCTCACCCAGCAGCAAAGGCATGATATTTGTCTCAAATTGTTCCTTTCTGGATTTTATTTTTGTTTAATCTTTTCGGTTCAAAAACGTCTGTTCCCCATCTATTTTTGCATTTTCTTCACTGGCGTTGAAACAAAATGTTATGAAATATAACATGCACTCCAGATGCTATTTCTAACTCCTTGTTCCTTGAGATCAGAGTAGATACAGGTTGCTTTTGTATACTCAGTTCTAACCTTTGGCCTCCATTTTTGGTCACTCACCTCTAGCGTGTTGTTTGTTTGCCTTTCTTCTACCTGAACAGTAAGTAGAATTACCACAGAGATGATAGTAATATTTGAACCTCCGTACCTTCCCAGAGGGTTTTTACTCCTGCTCCATAGTTCAGATTTAGCAGTAGGTAGCCTTCCTTTAATTCCATTCACTGTGTTAGGTGACTTCCTATAATAAATGCCCCCAACCCCTTCCATAAAGGCTTGGTGGAAGAACAACACCAAACCCAACACCCACACCCCAAAACACCTAATCAATTCGGAGAAACCAACCCCCAACCGAAATAACTCTCCCAACCCTACCAAGATTAACCACCAGTCACACCACCCTAGAAAACCAAAGAAAAGAGAAATACAGAAAACGGGAAACCAAACACACTCCCACACGGAGAGAAGGAACACTCACCACGGAGGGCTCTCACAACGGAGCGAAAAAAACTTTTTATGTGGTTGCCCAGTTGGTAACCACATAAGAAGAAAAAAAAGGAAGAACAAGAAGAAGAAGAAGATGGTGTACAGAGAGAAGAAAAAACTGGGAAAAGTGGGAAGAATAAGAAGAAGAGGGAGAAGAAGACGGGAGGGGTGTCAGATGAAGACAAAAATTAAAACACCAAATTATTATTTTATAATAAAAATTAATAATATTTTAATAAAATTGACTAGGCTATTTTTTGTTAGGAGTGGAGATGTTTTGGCCTATTACTGTTCATTAGGGTCTATTACTGTTTACTTGAGTGGATAAATGAGTTGGGTGCTGGTGCAAAGTCTTTAGGGGTGGAATTGCTCTAAAGGCTTGGTGGAAGAACAGCACCAAACCCAACACCCACACCCCAAAACACCTAATCAATTCGGAGAAACCAACCCCCAACCGAAATAACTCTCCCAACCCTACCAAGATTAACCACCAGTCAAACCACCCTAGAAAACCAAAGAAAAGAGAAATACAGAAAACGGGAAACCAAACACACTCCCACACGGAGAGAAGGAACACTCACCACGGAGGGCTCTCACAACGGAGAGAAAAAAACTTTTTATGTGGTTGCCCAGTTGGTATCTTCACTGGCGTTGAAACAAAATGATTTTGTGAGTAATTTGTAGTCAAGTTGGGAGAGAGAAATAGAGTGATTTTTCCAGAAAAAGAGAGAAAAAAAATGTGAGAGAAAAAAAAAAAAAAAAAGGAGGAAAGAGAGATAAAGAAGAAAGGGAGAGAGGATGATATGAGTGAAAAACGAGAGAGAAAGAGAGGGAAGTTAATGAGACCTGTTGGACTCGCGTGGCGCGTCAGGTGTTAGGTTCTCGTAGGGCTCCCACAATGTCTATAAATCTGATCCCATTTACAAATTTAGTTTTACCATCCCATTCCAGAAGGTATCAACTTGAGCCGAAGAAAATGGCCACCGAATCCATCGAGGTTGAAATCGTCGATACACAAACAGTTAAACCATCCTCCCCAACTCCTCAAGACCTCAGAAATTTTAAGCTCTATCTTTTGGATTTATTTATGCCTGGAATTTACATCAAATTCCTTCTCTTCTATCCCAATGTTGCTAGTACTACTACAACTCATACTGCCAAGGCCATTAATGACAAATATCAGCATCTAATAGAATCATTAGCTAAAACTCTCACTCACTACTACCCTTTCGCAGGAAGAATAAAAAGTAATGTCGCAGTCGAATGTAATGATGACGGAGCCCAAGTCGTGAAAGCCCATGTCAAGTGCTCTTTATCAGACATTTTCGAACGCCCAGATCCAGAGATGTTAACACGATTGCTTCCAACTGGGGCTGAGTCCACAGAAGCAGAAGCAGGCCCGCGCGCATTGCTTTATATACAAGTCAACTTGTTTGAGTGTGGTGGAATGGCAGTTGGGTTAGGCTTTTCACATAAGATTGCTGATGTCTCAACTGTATGCACATTCATCCATTGTTGGGCAGCAACAGCCCTTCAATCCAACAAGGTAATCCTACCCCAATTTGGCGGTGTTGCGTCTTCTTTTCCACCCCTAGATTTCCCCCTCTGGGAGTCACCATCCGAGAAGGAAAAGCCCGTAACAAGGAGGTATGTGTTTGATAACTCAAAGATTTCCGTTCTCCAATCTGAAACATCCAGTTCACTTGTTCCAAAACCAACAAGGGTAGAAGCCGTTTCAGCACTCATTTGGAAATGTGCAATTGAAGCATCGTCAAAGTCGTCACCAAACACGTTGTGTTCTAGTCCAATAAGGCCATCCACGTTTCGTCTAGCAGTGAACTTGTGCAAAATGGTTACGCCGCCCTTTCCAGATAACATGGCTGGGAATTTTTCTCTTTCGGCTATAACAAAGGCTGAAGAGAGTACTTCCAATGTGTTGGATTTAAAAGACTTGGTTGTTAAAATCCGGGCCGGGATTGAAGAAATGAAAGAAGCTGCTACAAAAGTATTTGATCCTAATGAGGCAATGCAAGTGTTGACCGAATACCTGACAATCCCACTGAAAGATCAGGAGATTGAAACTTATTACTGCTCCAGTTGGTGTAGGTTTCCTTTCTATGAAACAGATTTCGGATGGGGAAAGCCGTCATGGGTGAGCGGTCCTAGTCTTGTAGTAAAGAATATGTTTCATTTGGTGGACAAAAGAGATTGCAAAGGGATTGAAGCATGGTTGACTCTCAGCGAAGAGAAGATGGCATTATTTGAAGGCAACATGGAGCTGCTGGCATATGCTTCTCTGAATCCAAGGGTCACCTACTGAGTTTGGCACTTGGTAGACAATAATCCTCTTCTCTCCTTGTCTTTAATTTTGTGTTTTCAATAAATAGTGGATCACTGGCTTTTGGTGATAGCCAGCTTGTTCCTCTAGCCCAATAAGAAATTGTGGGAATAAAGTAGCGTTCGAATTGAAAAGTTTGAATGGTCTGATGATGAGAACTGGAACATGTGGGAATTCTCAAACATTGGCACGCTGATATGTTCGTGATGAATTCTCAAACATTGGACATTTTTCTGTTTTATTTGGTTTAAACTCTAGATTTGAATTATATTTTTTAGAGTTTTTATCACAAATAGTTTATGAAATTGACATAACTCATTATTTTGGTCATGTGATCCTTAAATTGACTCACACACATCAATCTGGTCTCTGTTGTTAAATTCCATTAAGTTTTCTGTTAGTATTCTGACGTATATTCTTGTATTTGTTTTGCCCGTTCTTCGTACCTACGGTTCCTTTCTTCTGCAGCAAAGGCATTTTGATCAGCCATTAATCGCAAGGAGGCCGCCATTTCCTGTTGAAAGGCGAAATCATCATTTGCCCTTCCCTTTTCCTTCAATTTTCGGAGCTTGTTTCGTCCCATAGCCCTAGGTACGGAACCTTCACCTGGAGACGGATTTTCTACCCTTGTTTCTTGAATGGTAGGAGATCCATCTGCAATTGAGGATGCATTTTCGAACACTGGCGTAGGACCAACACTTTGTTGAGGTGGATCTTCAAATAACACCCACTCTTTACAAATTTCCTAACAACCGCGATGACTAAAGGGTTTGGAGTTGTCCTCCTCCACATGACGTACCTATAAAATATAGGGAAAACTTGAAATTGGTCCAATTTTATAGCCCAATATTAGGATTAGTCCAATTTTTAGTTATTTTTGACTTAGCTCCAATGATTAGGATTCCATGTCAGCAATTTTTCTGATTAGGTTGATTTTTTTGCACTGTTATTACTATTTTACCCTCTTATAGATTTGGCACGTTCTCCATATATTACCCACGTTTTAAATTTTTATCAGAATTCAAATTCATTGTTTAGTAGTCTTTCATCTTACTCCCAGATTTCTTGATAACAATTTTTGAATTTGAATTTCGTATCAATCTATTTTTAAGGAAGGCTTAAACTTATCTAGTAGACAATGAATTCGGATGGATTGGAGTCCCATCATTTTATTGAATTGAAACACTTAAATGAAACAAAAACTCAAATTTCGCATAACTTCTTTATCCTAGTCTTCCTTTTCCCAGCTACCATCTCCCTCATTTATGAATCTACAAAGGACATGTGCTCTCATATTCTTCATCGCCTCTGCTGAAAAGACACCTTCGACTAATTCTCCATCAGCTTTTTGTTGTGCAATATACATCACAGCAACTCCACAATCATAACTGTTTAACAAAAAAAAAAAGGGTATGAACTTAAATATTACATTCTATCACCATGAAACCAACAAATAGGCACAATACCTGTTTCACAGGTATACCTATAGATTTGATTGTTCTACAATACCTGTTCTACAGGTATACCTATAGAACACAATACCTGTTTTACTGGTAAACCAAATCGATGGGTAGGATAAACATACCTCCAACTCATGGATCTTCATAATTTCCATCTTTGCATACAATTCCGACAAATTCCACTTAACAACCTTAAGTGAGATGTGCTCTATAGGTATACTTCAAGGGGAAAACAGGTATCAAAGAAAACTGATCCAATGCATACTTCGAAAATTTTTAAAGTACCTGTTCTCCAAGTATACCGGGAGGCCAGAACCAGATCTTCGCCTATTCTGTTTTCATCATATACTGGGAGAAATTTTATAGCTTTCATAGCTTCATACGGATTTAGGAGATTTGTTTCAAGGTTTCCGCTGGATACGGACGCAAACCAATTTGAAAGATGGGAGGATAAGGTTTTTGAATAAACAGAGAGACAAATCTGCAAGAGACCTGATAAAGGGCTCTAATGGCACTTGTTGTAATTTTGTTGGTAAATTATGTGCATTTTAATTGCTGACATGGATGATTGTTGTACTTACTAGCCCCCACTTATGCTTATGTAATATAAATGGATTCCATTCAAAACAGGCTTATAAAATTGGACCCATATCAAAAGACCCCTAAAATATAATTACAAAAATTAAAGAAAATTAATTTATGAAATTAAATATTTAAAATAAGTTGTAAAAACATTTACTTCGTCGTAAAAATTGGCTCCCCTTTCATGTCTGATTGCGATCCTTAACATTGCTTGGCTCCTTTTGACTGGATGGATTGGAAATAGCCTAACCAAATGGAGCAGTGTACACAAACGAAATTTTACTACATAAACCCTGAAAGTAAAGAAAACAAAGAATAATCAAAAGCATACACCTACACCCACCCCTTTCCATGACCCTGCAAACCCTGCCCTCAACCCGTCAGATTGACACCGACATCAACCCTAGGCGCATAAAGACTAAAATACCCCAAGATTTTTCCGTCCGTCAGATTTGTATTGAACCAGGCAAAAGGGTAATTTTCCCTAACCTCACTCCAGGCCCAAACACAGCAGCCCAAGCCCATTGTTTTCTGAGAAGATGAGCCCAAAACAAAAGACCTAGTGGCAAACGGTTATTAATTCAAAATTAAAGATCTAATCCATACCCTAGATGAATAGTGCAATTCAAAATTTAACATCAGACTATAGTAATGAGTGACATGCTTCCAATTACTTGAATATGAATTTTATATTCATATACTTATGGGGCTACATGCCTCACTTTCATATTAGATGTAACATCTCACATCGTCCAAGTAAGTTGATCTTCTAAGCTTTATATGTATATTCTCATTCTACCTAGCACAAGGCTTTTTGGGAGCTCACTGATTTCGGGTTTCATCGAAACTCCGAAATTAAGCGAGTTCGGGTGAGAGCATTCCCAGGATGGGTGACCCACTGGGAAGTTCTCGTGTGAGTTCCCAGAAACAAAACCGTGAAGGCGTGGTTAGGACCCAAAGGAGACAATATCGTGTTACGGCGAAGTCGAGCCCGGGATGTGGTGTTGGCCAACACAACTCGATTCGGAGTCAAAGTGGACTTTCCGGGTACATCCCACATCGCCCAGGAGAGTGGATCCTCTAAGCCTTATATGTATATTCTCATCTCTACCTAGCACGAGGCTTTTTGGGAGCTCATTGGCTTCGGGTTCCATCGGAACTCCGAAGTTAAGTAAGTTCGGGCGAGAGCATTCCCAGGATGGGTGACCCACTGGGAAGTTCTCGTGTGAGTTCCCAAAAACAAAATCGTGAGGGCGTGGTCGGGGCCCAAAGCGGACAATATCGTGCTACGGCGGAGTCGAGCTCTGGATGTGGTGGGAGCTCAGGTGGGAATGTGACATTAGACGAGAACTAAATATCAATGGACTAATGTCCCGTTCTTGTTATAAGATGAAGGGTCTCATAATCACATATAATTTAATGACATAATAATAACTAAATTCATAATGCTATATTGGAGTTAGAGGATATAGATGGTCACATATTATTAAGTATATGGTTTGTAATTTAATTAACATGTCGTGTAGTGGTCTACTACATATTTAAAGGAGTAATGAATAGTCATGCGGTGATGTAACGCCGTTTTCAAGATAGAACGCGGTTCGTATGTATGATGAATTAATCTGAAGAATGATGCAATTCATGGTCTGTGAAGTAATAAGGATTATATGCTTTGCCTCTGAAACCGAAACATGGTTCAAGCTCCCCTACTTGTAAACATACCCCAGCAACCTCTCTCCCCACTTTCCAAACTTTATGGTCCGCCACCAGAAACTTGAAATTTGAAAATTTTCATCCGAAACTTGAAACTTGATGAGCTAAATCTCACGTAAAAAGTAAAAATTTAACAGAGACAAAGAGGTGAGACAATAAAAAGGTGGATGCCATCTAGATGATGGTGTGAATGGTGGCTATGATCGAGGTATGGAGGGTGGGAAGGGAAAAATGGTTTTTCTTTCATGTTCTGGATAAGTGCTTCCTTACAAAGCACAAAGCAGGTGCTTTGAGAAAGCACTTCTATGACTCAAAAGCACTAGTTTTAACCCTTACCAATTTGAAACATGCCTGAATTCATCTAGTGAAAGCACTAGTTTTGGAACTTTATTTTTGGTACAAACTAGCGTACAAGCATCAATACAATGAGTGATCAACCAACCTCTTGCAATACTCATCTAAGGAATTAAGGACTAGAGAAGGTTCTTTTGTGGGGGGTTACAAATTACAGATGGATTCAAAGATGCATATTCAAGCAGCTCCTCATTGCTTTCAAACATGGACATGTCTTCTTCGTTGAAAGTTAAGGACGCTTCTATTCCATCGCCATCTCTTGCATCCAGTAAGACAATTGAATTCTTGGAACCAACACTAGAAATGAAGACCCATGATGGCTTTCCCCAACCAAAATTGGATTCGTATAGAGGAAACCTGCACCAACTGGTGGAACTATAGCTGTCTGTATCATCCTTTTTCATAATGAGGTTCACATTCTCCATGAAAAGTTGACAGAATTCCTCCCCTCTAACTCCATTTCTATATTTTTCTTTAAATTCCTCAATGCCCTTCCTCAGTATAGTAACCAAGCTTCGAAGATCATGATCATGTGCTTCACTGCTGGATTCTTCCGTCTTTGCTGCAACCAACCCCACAACATTCCCTAGCAAATCTTTATCTGCCAAGGTCTGCGCAAGTACTTTCCTCATGTTCACTGTTTGACACCATGAAGAGGGCCTCACTGAACCCAAGTTTGATCTTGACGCTTCCTTTGCACATTTCCAAATGAGTGCGGACACTACTTCAACTCGTGTTGGATTTGGCACGCTGGCACTGGCAGCTTCGGACTTGAGAGCAGCAATCTTTGAGCCATCAAACACAAATCTCCTCGTCGTACACCTTTCTTTAATATCAAATTTCATGTCTCTAGTTGGAGTTGGCGCTGGCGGTGAGTTTAGGAAGTCTAGTGGTGGGAAAAGAGAAGATGCAGCCCCAAATGCTACAAGAGGCACCACATCAATAGTTCTTGGCGAGCCGAGTGCAATTGCAGCCCAGCGATTAATGAATTTGCTGAGTGTGGAAGCATCCGCCACCTTATGCGA